CTGGAGTGCTCCAAACCTGTGCCAGTGATTAATGAAACCATTTTGATTGCGAAAACTCAACCAGACCGGCAAAACTTATCGATGCAAGAAACGGTCTTCGGTAACCCAGATTAGTCATTGCTGTCGCTGTAAATTAATTGATCGAAATTGAGGTGAATTAGCATGGATTCAACATAACTCAGCTGGCAGTTGCTGTCGCGACTAATCAAACTATTCATATTGATTTAATGCGACAAGAAACCCAATTCCCTTGTATACACTTGTAAGCGTTGATTTTGCAGCATTAATGTTGCATGTTGCATCGTTTAATGGCCATCATAAATTGCATAGGAGAAGAGAATGTCCAACGAAGCTACCGGGCAATTAACGTTATGAAAAACACACTTTTACTCATTTTCCGAGTATTGGGAAACGCAGTTCTCTTTTCTATTGAATTTCTTGCTGCTTTCCACCGTCTTTGCCTGCCAAATCCAGAAACAGAAATCGCTAACTTTTGAACTTCTGAAAGCAAAAACTTTGCTGGGAATGTTTTTTTGCAGTAATAATTACAGTAAATTTATTTGCGTAAGTATTGCTTAAATCACAAATTCCTCACGTACAATCTAGGAATACAAGTAGCATTCTGTTTGCAAACATGTCATGTTGATTAATTGATTAATGCCTGGATGCATGATGACCTTTTAGAACGGTTTACTTTGTACTGCGCGATTCAATCTGGAGAAAAAAGGCGGTCATTATCGTTTTTCCAACCCAGCCGGTGAGAAAAATACCGAAAAACCTTTAAACTGCTGCCAGTATAGAGATGTAATTAATTAAAAACCGTTTTTTTTTTGTTATCGCTTGTCAACGACTTTTACGCCCAACTTGCTGTAGCCGTGTTTTAGGAAATTAGCGTGGCATTTTAATGGGCGATTTTTATTTAGTAATTGAATGTTGTGCTGCCAGAACTGAAATTTATTACTCGCAACAGGGCGTTTTTTAATTTTTGTGCGCTTTAATTAAAAATTTGTCATCCATCGTAATCAGATGGGGAAATATCCTCGCTGTCGCTGTGCCTAGAAGAGTCTCATTAAATTAGCGGCTTCGTAATCTAATTTTCAGAGTGAAGACAGCTGCTTAACCGAAGAAAAAAGTCGAAAAACGAGGCAATTTTCATAATGCAATGGCAAAGAGAGCCAGACAGTGCCGAGTTATCGCGTTTCTTCGCCTCGTTAGAAAGCTTAACTAAAAACGGCACCAAATGCTGATCGTGAACTAAATTTTTAACGAAATGAAAAAACAATGGAAGTTTGCAAAGGATTTTTACGGGTTTAATGGGTTTTGAAATAAAGATTTTGAATGACAATAGGGTGTTTTCACTTTTTTTAATGTTGATATATAGAAAGTAGTTATGGCAAACATTGCACTGATATAATTTTTTTTGCTAAAAAAGTCTCCATAATTATTTTACAGCGAATTTAAATTCAAATCAGATATTTTCCGCCAAAAATGCCGAATCCGTATCGTCGGTTGCCTATCCCGATTGTGACGTAGCAGGTCATATCAACAAAGTGTCTCTTGTTTATTTTGTTGTTTCCGCAGCTTTGTTTTATTATTTAAGTTATTGTGATTATCATTATTTTATTGATTATTATTATCTTGCATAAAGGAAAATAATGACAGGTATGGATCACAAAATAAGTGGTGTTTTGGGCCAGGATGCAAGAATATCCCAATAAGTGGTCCAAGCAAACTCTTTTAACCGTTCCCCATGATTATGCACGTAAAGTTTTATGGTTCAAAGCAGCTAGACCTGAACTTCCTAAATCAAAATCAACGTTTTTTTGTTGCGAGGATCATTTTAATGAAAGTACGAACAATAAGCTAATGATGAGGCAGACAGAATATGCAGAATATGAATATATATCGATCGTACTCTGTGTTGTGGGCAAATTCTACCTTGTACAGTGCACAAAGAACCCTCGCGTTTCAACTCCACATATCCGAAATCAACATATTGTTCTCGTGATGCCCAAAATACAAATTTAATAGTTTATTTTACTGTTAAAGCAGCCATGTGTATAGGTTAGGTTAAGTTGAATAAGTGAAATTATATATATGATTTACGTAATTTAAACCAATACAGACAGATTCGTATAATAAGGAGAGAGTAACTAATAATGAATTTACGGATTTTTGCTTACGCTGCTGCTTTGACACCCTTAAATTCGGCTGAATTAAAGCGTTCGTCGTTTTTTAAAAATTCGGTAACCATAAAATATGTACACATGGTAAATTGTTTGTTGACGCTTTAAGGAATCCTTCGGATGCCATTTTTTAGTTTAACACAAACCATTTAAATCATCAAAATAATTAATGAAACACACCCACACAACTAAACATTATGCACAGAACGTAAACAATCCGCCATTTATATGACCAGAGACGTCACAACCAATAGGATTGCGTTTTGGAGATTCATGAATAATTTGAATCTTAGCTGAATTTGTTTATTAAATATTTAACAAAAAAGCAATATACAGATAGTATAAACTTATTTAATCTTTCATATAGATATACATTACCATACATTAATGTTCAGTTAGTATGAATTTTTGATACAATGAAAACACCCTATTTTCAACAGCAGTTAGGTATGCACAGGTTTTTGAGGCTTCAGGTAAAGTAACAATCTTTGTTTTGCCACCAACTATAATTAATAAAATTGCCAATGAAAAAGTAACTTGCTCTTAAATAGTTTTAGCAAAACCTTATTTTATCCAGAACGATTTGTAACTGTTTTTGGATCGATTTTTGACCAATTGAGCCTTAGGAGCTCGAATAATTACATCAAGTTTCTGCGCACCATAAATCAGATTGAAACGAAGCAACAAAATAAAAAAGTCAAAGCGGAAAAAGTGTAACAACAAAACCTCCGAATATTTTCGTTCTTTGCAGATTCAGCTTGGACCGAAAGTTTTTATTTATGTCACTCGGGGAAGCGCAGATTAAATTTGATAAAAACCGCACAGCATGAAATTATTTTCTGAAGTGCTCTTTCTGCCGCTGTCGCTGTTTTTCAAGCAAAGTTGGTAATTGGAAAGACGCTCAAAGTGGTTCTCTGAATATATACAGGGGACGGCATCGGGCTTGATACAATCAAACTGCCGTGAGAATTCGCTTTTACTTCAATTGCCAATTTATTTGCTACTTATTCCGATCGAATTTGTCATCCATTCACCAGCAAAAATGGGTACAGGTTTGTAGAACGAAAATGAAAGTATGAAAAATTGAAACAGAACAGTTGTATGCCTATTTGGAGGTAGAAAATGAATGAAATCGAAGGTGGAAAATGCCAATTTATCAGACAATATGGAAAGCGTATACCCACTTTAAACCGTCTTTGAAGCATTTGCTCTTGACACATTTTTAAAGGTGTAGATGGAGCGATTTAATTAAAATATCAGTCGTCTCCGATTCGCTAGTTCAATACGGAGCATGTGGATTAATTAGGTAAAACAGAAAACAGAATAATTAGTTTACGGCGTTATGAAGGGCGTGCAAAACATACGAAAGGCGCACTAATTTATTTAACGATTTACTTCGAAATCCCATCGACTACTCGGAAATTTTCTCTAAATTTGGAGGTTCACAATTTTTCGTTAAACCTCGGTTGAAGTCATTAACAATTTTTGTAAAACCCACTTG